TAATTGTCTACAGAATTTAAAAACATTTTGTTTAAACAATCAAATTATAGATTAAGCAGTATCAAAAACAGGTGATCAAATTTTTCAGCTCGTTTGGGCAACAGTAAGAATAATGTTAAGATATTTGTATAAAGGCACTAGTATAAAAATTAAAATATTTACACCAAATGAACTTACGGATCAGGAAAATATTATAATAAAAGAAATGCACGAGAATCCTTTGGCAGGATACAGAGGGATTTCGAGTACTATAAAAAAAATTAAAAAACTGTATAATTGGCCAGGAATGTCAAAAGCAGTAGCATATTATGTACAGAAGTGTCAATCATGTCAAAAGAATAAAACTTCAAACAAGCATACAAAGCAACCGATGGTTATCACTTCCACAGCAGATAAACCATTTCAAAAAATATTTATGGACATAGTAGGACCACTTCCTATTACACACAAAGGGAATAAATATGTACTTACAATGCAAGATGATTTAACAAAATTTAGCATTGCAACGCCTATGGTATGCCATGAAGCGAATACTGTAGCGCATAGTTTTGTGAACTCATTTGTTTGTATACATGGAATTCCAGAATCAATAGTATCGGACCAAGGCACAGAGTTTCTAAGTAAAATTTTTTCAGAGTATGTAAATTATTAAATCGTATGATTATATTCCGATTATGATTATAACGGAGTTGATGAAGTTACTGCAGGGTTACAAAATATGTTGCGACAGTACCCACCAAAACTCCCAGTCATCGTCACAGCCCATGGCGACCATGTCCATTGCGTCCACGTCTGCCGACAGTCAAACTCGGCTTGTCGGTGTGTATGGTTGCAACGATGCGTCCTCTATCGCCAACATGGACGACGACGCGTTTGGGCGATACGCCTCACGTCGTCGGACTGGGAAAACATCGTGCGATATTTTTCTACAGACGGCCGGGAACCCCAACAAATTGACGGCCTCGGTTCCTAAGGAGGATTACGTGATGGACGCAATTTTATACAAGTATGTAGTACAAAATTATATGCAATACGTTCGTAATTCGTATCTAAAACAAGTGTTTATATCGAGCATGAGGAAAAAAAACGAGCCATCGTATCAATTTAACGTCGTTGAATATAAAAAATATAAATTTCGTACTACAGAAGTTGACATTTTGTACAACAGAGATTTGCCCAGTGTACGCAATTACGAAAATAAAACTAAATTGTTTAGAAATCATAAAAACTATTATGAACCATTTGAAGCTAAACCTTTCCGTATTCATTTAAATCAACTCATTTATAATATGTCTGAAAAATTAAAAATATACAATGGCATTACAAAAATGATTGCCCCGGAAAAATGTCAATTTTGTTTATATCAACACTTTAGGGAAAATACACATTGTAATAGAAATTTGGTAAAATTATGTTATCCGTTTTTAAATCAAGCTACTTATGATGATATATTCGAACACATGTACGATTCTAATTATATGGATAATATTGATTTTTCGTAAATTTAGGAAGTCAGATCTAGAAGGACTTCGGGACATGCAGGAATGGTGGAAATATGCAGCAATGAAATGCCGAACGACGTTCCCAGTAAACTCGGTGCATTTGCAATAAATCAAGACGGCCATGAGAACAACTCTTCCGCTGATGAAGTCTTCGGATACGATGAGAGAGGTTCCAGTATCAACCCGATATGCGAGTACCCAACGTCGCTGAAAAATTTGTTGTACCACTATCCCTGTTGTCCACCCGATACGTGGATGTGGAATATTAAGCTCAATACCCAACTACTCGAATTCGACAAAAAAATCTCCTCAACCTCAACTATAATAAATAACTTTTTAGAAATAATAGAAGGAAAATACCCTCACCATATAAAAATCTTTACGGACGCCTCAAAATCCCCAAATGGAACCGGTTTCGCATTCATAGAAAATAACAAAACTTCAATGTTCAAATCTCCTCACGAAACCAGCATTTTTTCCGCTGAAAGTCAAGCCATCCAAAATGCAATCTCACACGCGACGACCTTAGTGTCTGAAGAAATACTTATAATTAGTGACTCCCTTAGTGCACTCCTAGCCCTCGAAAATCCTTACCCCAAAAATGAAATAATTCAATCCATCCAAGAAAAGTTATCAAACACAACAAAAAAAATCGAATTTCTATGGGTCCCCTCCCACACTGGCATAAGTGGCAACGAACTAGCTGATAAGGCAGCCAACGAAGCAATAGCATCACCCAGCTCGGTACTAATAAATAAAATAACATTTCAAGACGCACTCTCAAAAATAAATAATCTAACTAAAAGTCACTGGCAAGACTCGTGGGAGAAGACTCCAAACACAAATAAACTAAAAGAAATTAAACCATCAATCGACCCATGGAAAACTCCCCCATCCTCATCCAGACACGAAGAAGTAGTTACCACAAGAACCCGGATTGGACACTCCCGCCTAACACACCTGCACCTCATAACAAAAGAAGACAGCCCGACCTGCGAACTCTGTGACAAAGCGCTGACAATCAAACACATCACACTAGAATGCCCCAAGTTCACCAACTCCAGACAAATCCTCGGGAACCCATTAACAATGCAACAAGCACTTGGCGAAGATGACTCCAAAAACATATACAATTTTTTCAAAAATATAGGCTTAGCAAAATTAATTTAGAAAAATAATTGAATGTACATAATATATTCTACAAATTCCCTCTATTGTTAAACATAATGTGTCCCCATAGCTTTAAGATCAATACTCTATGACTACTATTTTGTATTTTGTATTTACTACAGGCTAATAACCTCAGGAGTTGAAGCCTTATTTAAATAAAAAAAAAAAAAAAAAAAAAAAAAAATATTAGGGAATTTTATTTAAATCCTAAATTTAATTACATATTAGAAGAAGATAAAAAGTGTAAAGTTGCGATTAGGAATTGGTGCGCTATTATACGGGACTGGAGTATTGTCCAATTTGTCGAATACTATAATAAACCTAATGTAAAACCGTATTTTAACCCGTACGCTAGGGGACCTGGAACCGTTTATTACAATTCGACGAATCCGTTTCAATAGCTTCCAAGTTATTAATGTATCAATTTGAAAATAATAAAGGTCTTATTTGTAACTTTTTGCAAACTTTATTCAATATATTGGATAAGAAAATCCCAAATAGAAATAGCATGTTAAAACATTCTCTTCCGAGCGCGGGCAAAAATTATTTTTTCGATGCTGTAGCCGCCTTTTTTTTAAATTACGGAATGTTTGGCACCGCCAACAAAACGAATAATTTCAGTTTTTCTGATGGCGCAGGCAAACGTCTCGTTATATGGAACGAACCTAATAACGAGTTATATCATTTGGAAAAAATGAAGGAGCTATTAGGAGGGGATACCACCAGAGTGCATGTTAAATATAAAAACGATATTCCCTTACAAGGCCCCCCTATAATACTGTTGACCAATCACTATTTATCAAAAAATTAATGACCCATCGTTCAGAGACCGTTTATCAGTGTATACTTGGATAAGAGCACCTTTTCTAAAAAATAATAATAAAAAACTGTCTCCATTATTTTTTCATCATTTATTAAATAAATAAATACAACATTACATATTGAACATATTGTGTTATTATTTACTATCCTATTCTATTGTTACAAATTGGTTATAAATCGTTGACAAATCGTCACGGAAAAAGTTCTGTGCCTACGTACTAGTCAAATTATGATGCATGACACCGTCTTCGAATGGAATATGAATTTTGTCGAAGTGCGTAAATTGATACTGTGCCCCGAATTCAACAACCATTTCAGTGTTGACTTCAATGTTGGTGAAACTGCTAGGTTTTATTGCTTGACTAGTAGTAGTCAATCTGTGTACGGGATATACGCCTACGTGCAACGATGGTTGTTTTTTGACTGTCGCATCATCACCGTGACGCCAAATGTATTGACCGCATTCCAAAGGCTTAAAATAACGTTTGCTGTTAAATAATTTTGTGTACGAATCATCTCGAAGTTCTTAGGTTTCCGTATCGTTCACTTTTTCCGTATTTTTTCCAATTTTTATTTGTGTAAATCCAGCTCTTCGGTTTCTTTTGTTCACCATAATAACAGTATCATTTCCTGTAACCGATTTTCCTGATATACCATTAAAAACTCCTTCAATCGGTTTTCCCAACAATCCCAATTTAGGGCTGTATGAATATTCGGCAATAGTTTTCCCAGTTGTAAAACTAGCATCAATTTTTTGAAGAGTTCATTTAACAATGGCCAACCTAATTTTGTACTGTGTTCTTTGTCCGCAACCATAGTGTAATAATGATTATTATGAAACGGTAAGTGAAAATATGAATTTGGTATACCGTCGAATTCTCCGGTAAAAATAGGTTTTCCGTCGTATTTACAACCGTACATGGCTTGAATAGTTTCTTCCTGATATTTAGTATTTTCATCAGAACACGTTGTAGGATTCATTGCATCGGTTGTCCCAAAACCGTATTTGTAATTCATACCACGAGTAATGTAAGTTAAATTATGTGCGACAACGGCAAATTTATTTTGATTCAGTGTAGCCAAACTAGATGTAGTTGCATTGGTCTCGAAGGCCGTTCGCGGATTACGCATCACGACATTTACTTTTACGTGTTTACACAATGATCCCGGTGTAGTACTCACTAGCTTGTATTCCCTAGGAGATAAATACAAAAACGGATATTCAACTGGTATATGATTTAACGAAGTCGTTATAACGTGTAAACCTTTTACTGTTGAAGATAAGTCCAACATTTTCCAAGCCAATCCGTATGATATAAATGAATGAAATTTTTTAAATACCATAGTATACTCTGTTGTAATGTGATTGGATCTAGGTAGTATAGCATTCTCAGCACTGGGATTTCCCGTATCGCCGTCAGAAGCAGAGGCGCCAGCAGTAAAAGGCAAAACCATATTGGATTTCTTGCTAGAGGAAGCTCCCGCTGCTGAAGAATCAGCAGCCCTCTAGGACGATGTAGGTGTTTCCACCATATTACCGCTAGTTGAAATAATTTTATCGCTGTTACCGACGTACTGGTTATCAGAACGCAATTGTCCAACTGAGTCAATGTTATTTCTTGATTCGCTTGTGATATGAGACGGTTCTGCATTAGTGTTGGCGTCTGGCCCTTGTGCGTCGTTGTCTTTTTGTTCTGAAAATAAATGGTTGGCTAGAGTCTATGTTAAATGTATAAAGAAGTATAATGTATGCTTACCCGATTCTACACAACCGCACTGTGGATATATTGCACTATTACTGCCGGTAATGGCTTCGTGTGTACGTTCTGCAATGTTTTTCAGTCCAAGGCCAACAATTGTGGCAATGTTACCATAGTATTTATCAGTAGTATTCATTGCTTACTTGATCTTTTATCTTGTTGGTCATATTAATATAAGCGACATCGTGTTGGAACGTGACTTTATCCATTTCTGTTTTCGGTAACGAACATCCGATAAACTTATTGTTTGCATCATATAACTTATTACCCGGTCCTGTATATGAATTGCCGAACCACGTGATTCCACCATTATCGCATGCTTCTTCTTGCAGGGCCGGTTATAGGCGTAGGCGACGTAGGCACAAGCCTACGGCGGCAAAATTTATAACTATATAGAGGCGGCATATAAGAAAAAATCAAATATCTTATTTTTCACGTTTATTTTAGATTTTAACAAATTTCAAAATACAATATACAAACATATTGTGTAGATCGATAAAACTCCAAAACAATATTCAATAAAAATAATACAGATAATTTTTCCCTGAATTGCGATAACGTCTCAAAGCATGTTGTGCCATTACAATTTAATCGATAATAATTCTATTAGCGTTTTTGCAATTGGAGACTGTTGTGTGTCATTCACTCTCACTGTACAGTGTAGTGTACTAGTGTAGGTACATTCTTTATTGAGCTCAACAATATAATTTTTTTATAAATCAAGACATATACGATATACATCTATCAAGACTTCATTACACAATAGGTAAGTAATATAAATATAATATATTTTTAATTTACTGTTAATCATTATTGGTACCTATAGCGCGTAAATTATTCAATAGTATACGGTCGCCGTTATAGTGAAACTGCCGCCCGACAGTTCAATCATAATATTATGTAAAATGGTTAGGTTATGGTTTGACGGATGGCCGGAGGAGGCCAGGGAGAATAAGCTGCGTATTATAGACGCTATTGAAACTGAGTTCACGACAGTAAATAATATTGCCGTATCGCGCGTCGTTCTTAGTCTTCTTCATAATTGAATGTATTTTTATTTATTTAATAAATTAGAACACGTTTACTACAGGCATAACATCTTCTATCTGATATTTATTGTATTTGTAATTATTTTAAAAATGCAAAAAGACCAAATAATAGAATTTTTGTTAACTAGTGGTTAATTAACTATGTAATACTGTTATATAATTAGTTTTTCTTGTCCGTTGTTGTATGGAGTTTATGTTAAATAATTAAAAAATAAAATAATATTAATTAATTATTATCTTATTTATTCAGATATTATGGCTGATGACATAAAAAAGCGTAAACGATTATCAGGTTCGCAATATTTAAAGAAAAGACTAGCACGGGAGAAAGATTTAGTTAAACAAAAAGGTAGTTTACTGAAATTTTGTCAACAAAATAGTCAAGCAAATGTTATTAATGATAATGATACTGATGACAGTGAAGAAAATAGTGGAAATAAAAATATTGAAGATCTAAGTATGGGCGAAGTTGACAATAAAAAAAAAGAACATGACAATGAAAGTAAAGAAGAGATTAATATAACTGAAAAGAATAGTGCCAATTTAAATATTAAAGATATACATGATATAAGCAGCAGAAAAGCTGATTTTGACTCTGAAAATGAAAACAAGAAAGAGATTGCTATAAGTATTATAAGTGAAGAAAATATTGAAAATAAAAAATCTTGTAATTATGATGAAAAGTACACCAATTTTAAGTCTCTTGATTTTGATGACCCTAATAAATGGCCCTCTATCGATGATAAATTAAGACTTTATTTAATAGAGTGTGGACCTCGTCAAATAAATATGGAAACATTTCCTATTAACACTAGTGGTAGATCATTTTCATCTTTTCACTATTTTCGACGTTTACCTAATGGTGAATGTATTAAACGTTCTTGGATAATTTATTCTAAATCAAGTGATTCTGTGTTTTGTTTTTGCTGCAAATTGTTTAATATTGGAGTAGTATCTCTTACAACCAATGGTAATAATGATTGGAAAAATATATCAAATATATTGAACAGACACGAGACGTCAAATTCTCATAAAAAGGCATATCAAAATTGGAAAGAATTAGAAACAAGGTGTAAACGTGGAAAAACTATCAATAATATCAATGAAGCTAATTTAAAAATTGAGACAGAACATTGGAAAAATGTACTTAAGCGAATTATAGAATTGATAAAAACACTTAGCAGTCAAAATTTGGCTTTTCGGGGAAAATCAGATAAACTTAATACTTCCAATAATGGTAACTTCTTAAAATTTATTGAATTTTTAAGTAAATTTGATCCAGTAATGAAAGAACACATAAGAAGAATATCATCTCAAGAAATTCATTGTCATTACTTAGGAAAAGACATCCAAAATAAAATAATTCAATTATTGACGAATAAAATAAGATCTCGCATCATAACTGCATTAAAAAATGCAAAATATTATTCAATCATTTTAGACTGTACACCAGATATAAATCATACAGAACAAATGACTGTCATAGTTAGATTCGTCTCAACTACTGAAAACGAAACCACAAGTAAAATAGAACACGTTTCTATAAATGAACACTTTATCGGTTTTATAGAATTATACAATACTACTGGCTTAAATATGACTGAAGTTATTCTTCAAAAACTGAGAGAATTAGATATTTCATTAGATGACATGAGAGGCCAAGGATACGACAATGGGGCTAATATGCGTGGATATAAAAGTGGTGTTCAAGCTAGAATTCGAAATCTAAATTCAAGAGCTTTTTACGTGCCATGCAATGCACATTCTTTAAATTTGGTTTTGAACGATTCAGCAAATTGTTGCTTAGATGCAGTTTTATTTTTTGATATTATACAAGAAATGTATACATTTTTTTCAGCATCAACACAGAGATGGGATGTTTTTCGTAAATATGTTAAAAATCTTACTGTAAAACCATTAAGTGCAACTCGATGGTCTAGTAGAATAGACGCTATTCGACCAATTCGATTTCAAACTGCTGAAATTTATGATGCACTGGAAGAAATATCAGAAGACACTTCACTTACGAGTGTAACTGGCGTTCGAAGTCGTTCTGAAGCTAAAGGTATAGCTGAAAAATTAATAAGTTTCAAATTTTTATGTAGTTTAGTAATTTGGTATGATTTATTATGCGAAATTAATGTCACTAGTAAACTATTACAATCTATATCATTAAATATTATCGAATCAATCAATCAGATAAACAATACCAAAATATTTTTACAAAAATATCGTAGTGATGAAAATTTTGAAAAAATACTTACACAAGCAAGTTACTTAGCAAATGAACTTGGTGTACAAGATAGTTTTTCGTTAAATCAATTTCGAACTCGACGTAGAAAAACTCATTTTGATTACGAATCTCGTGATACTCCTATAACAGATCCTAAACAGAATTTCAAAATAAATTTTTTTCATCAAATATTAGACAATATGCTCCAATCAATAAATGACCGATTTATTCAACTTGAAGACCATAGTAAATTATTTTCATTTCTTTATAATATTTCTAATGTAAATAATTATGAACATTTAATGAAGTGCTGTAAAGATCTTCAGCTAGCACTTTCTTCAAATGACGGTTTAAATTCTGATATAAATTCTGTCGAACTTTGTGAAGAAATAAATACATTACAAAAACATTTGCAAAATGAAAATGATCCAAAAGCAATTTTACAATTTATATGTGAAAACAAATTAATAGAATTATTTCCTAATGTATACGTAGCTCTAAGAATTTTATTAACATTACCAGTAACTGCAGCTTCAGCTGAAAGAAGCTTTTCAAAATTAAAAATTGTAAAGAACTACTTAAGATCACAAATTTCACAGGATCGTTTAGTTGGATTGGCAACAATTTCAATTGAAAATCAAATTGCGAATGATCTTGACATTGACGATTTAGTTAAAGATTTTGCGTCAGCAAAAGCAAGAAAAATACATTTTTAAAAATTATAACTAAATATTGTATTTCATAATAACTATTGTAATACCTTACAAACAATCCATGTACTATTAATTTAGTAATTTCTTTTTTATTATATAATAATTGACAAGTGTAAAAAGTTTTTAATTTTTTTGCTCCTACATAATATGACATTTATCTATGTAAGTTATAATAAAATAAGAGGCGGCAATTTTGATCTTTGCCTACATATAAAAAATTGCTTGCGCCGGCCCTGTCTTCTTGTTTATGAATTGTATCATATGTTTCTGCATTTTTGCTTCCAACCACGGGTGCCTGACCCAACAGACCGGTACACATAGTTAGTCCAGCCGATGCCATTGTTATACACAAACTGATCGCCTTTATCGCAGAACGCGCAATACATTCAAATCATTTTACTCAGCCGCCCAATTATGACGTTATCACGCGAAAAAACGAACTGGGTGCTTGCTCAAATTATTCTATAAGCTAAAAGCGACAGCCGCCGCCTTCCCTAATCGCAGTAGTGCACCGGATAACACACACACGCGCATCCGCGAAAACACTCTGCGAAGACCGGTTACTGTGATCGCCCGGCAAGCGCAACAATAACAATAACAACCCACTGACCTACATTCCATACGCATATAAACACCAATAAGCTTGCAACACAGCTGATCGAAGGAACGCGATACCCGTTCCAACGACAACAGCCACATTTTATAATTTCTCGTCAACAACACCGGAAAAACAACCAGAAGTCATGCCAGAAAAATATATTTGTGAATTGACCGCCGCGGAATTATGCTATGAATGCAGGCAGCGCGGGTTATCGGATACGGGTGCGAAGGATGATCTCGAAATCCGGTTAACACAGCATTTCGCGGACCTGAACCTACAGGGTTCACCACTGGGCTGACCGGACTTAACTCGGCCACAGGTCAGGTACCCGACGCCGGACAAACCGCGCAAATACGGGTCAAGTCATCACCCGCCAAAAACCGAACAACATCAACAACAGAACTCCCACACCCCCACCCACACACCAACAAGATATGGACTCGATCCAAACGGGTCAATCTATAATTAAGGAGGTACGGCAAGGGACGGAAAACTCGACGCATGGCCACAGTCTGGATTCGCGACTGACCATGCTCGAAA